AAAGTGAGATGAAATATATTTGGTCGTACAGAACTAACAGGAGATCCGATCAAGACGTGCAACATACCCAGACGACCGTCTCGAGATCTTTCTAATGCCGCCGAGATCGCTGTTGTACGACGCCGCATGCGCCCTCACGCGCCGCCGGAGTGTCCCAGGACTGCAACTTGTCTTCTTCTGTTTTTGCACCCATTTGATCCGCTTTTCGATCCGATCTTGTTCGTACAACCCTAGGACGCAATTTGCAGTCTACTTTTTATTGATGTGTTGTGTACGTCCATCCAGAAGATCAGCCAGATTGCCATAAATTTTAAGCCGTAAGTTTTCTACGCAAACTTTTAGATCCGCTGCGCATAGGTTTACGTTTTGCTATTGAATTCGTGATTTGTGCATAACGAGATCTTCATTGATCCCAACAACTAAGAGATCATGGGATGCCAACGGTAAACAAAAGATGTATACCGGTCCATTGTTGTTTATGATGGTTAGTGTTCTTAAATCATCCATTAATATTATTTTTCTATATATTCACCATTATTACATGTCAGATCATCTGATTCACTACGTAGTTTTTTTTTTTGTGATTATTCGATGCAGCTATTCTATGTGAACAAGTTGTCCTGTCGATGAGATCAGTTTCAAGGTCGTTTCCCATATTTGTGTCATGGACCAATGAGTCATTAAAAACTAGGGAACGAGATGAGATTGCTTCTGGATCTTTTGGGAGGGAGTTTGTTGATGCAGACACGCACGTGGTCGTTGACCGTGACAAACTAGATAGAGTTGAGGATGCCACAACCAACGATAACGAGATCAGCAGCACAATGGGACCCAGTGTGCAGGTTCATGATATTAATGTTATTGTTTGTTATTTGATCATTTACCATTTTTTTTTATACATTATATGTTACCTTATCATTTTTATCTTTTACCTATCTTACACTTTTATTATTATTATTATTATTATTATTATTATTATTATTATTATTATTATTATTATTATTTTGCATGTTATTCTGTGATATCTTCACCTGATGTATAACTATGCATATCGTTGAATTAAAATGTGTGTGATTATATTGTATCGCTATGGGTGGTTTATGTATCTGTTTACTGATTTTAATTTCGCATTTATATGTGCAATTTATTTTTTTTGTTTTTTTTTTTTGTTTTTTGTTTTTTTTTTTACTAATAGGCTTACGTTCAAGATTTTGCATCTAAGACTCATGTCCTTGCTACAATCAGAGATGAATTTTGCAACTGGTTAAGAAGGCACCACAAGTTCTAGTCGGAGATGAAAATTTTATGAAAATACAAGGCGCGTCGCAAATTCTTCTAGGTGTGTATACGGAATTTCCTAAAGCAAACTCCAGCCATCACGATCAAAGCCAACAGAATCATACGGTCCCCACGAGTGATACTGCCAAGGACAATGCGAATGGTGCTGCATATCAGGTAGTAGACGATGCATTCTGGAATGATCCTGAAACATTGGCGTTGATAGATGTGATTTTGAAGGCAGCCGAGCGACGTGATCGTTTCAAGAGGATGCAACTTGACATGCCCAGTTTCAGCCTATGCATCTGGTCAGATGACGATGATGTCGGTGAAACCCATAACCAACATACGAGCGGGATTTGTGTGGGCTATGGACATAATGTGAATGATCAAACTGTTGAGAAGTTACCCGATATAGACGTGCAAAGGGGTATGTGATAATTGGTGCTTATTTTATATTTTACGTAGAGTTTTTGGCAATGTACATTATTCGTGTTGTATTAATATGTTTTTATCATTGTTCACGAAGATGATGTTGGTCCATCTGAGCATTTGGAAACCAGTGAAGAATTTGGGTTTCATGACAAAGATCAAGTGGCTGCAGGTATGTATATTATGTTCACATCTATCTAATGTATTAACAAATATATATATGTTCTGTGCCATTATGTATGCTTATGTTTTTTTTTTCTTTTCTTTTTTCATCTTTTTTTTTCTTTTCAGAGACCGTTTGCGAAGTATCTTGTGGTAATGATGTCAACATGCCTGCGAGGCCAAAGAGGCGCACCAAGGCGGGCAGTGAAATCAAATCCCCTTATATGAAGAGGGAGATTGATGTGACAAAGAAACTGGACATGAATGAGAAGATGGTTGTTAAATGGGTACTGAAGGACGACCCTTGTGACGAGTATAAAAATATTTATATATTGTTTATATTTTTAAATCATATGCTTATATAGTCAGTTATATTCGTGTATTAGAATGTTTTAATCTCTATTCATTCACAATCTTGTGAAATGTCCAATGGCGTGATTATATTTCAGTCACCTGAATTCTCCGTGAAGAAGTTGGTTGTGGCATCTCTGACCCCCGACACTCCAATTAGTAAGGAGTTGCTTGACCTATGGTCTTGCATACTAAACTACAACGAGCACTTTAAAAGTCGAGGTGCGGCAACCAGCTTTTTTGCATCCACTTCCCCGTGCAACGAGGTATGACATGCCATCTAATGTGAATTATATAATATCGTCAGTGGTTCGGATATTATATGTGTACCTATATGTTATATCATTTGATTCTATCATTGATTGTAGTTGTTCTTTGGGGGAAAACGAAAAAAAAGAGACGAGCTATAAGAAGTTTGCTCAGACCCTTGATTTTGAAATTGCACAGCTGTTTATTTACGAACTGAAGCAAATACGTGTGGTACGGTATCAATCCCCGAATCATCGTGTGATTTTATCTAACACTAAGTGTATACATGAGTGGCCTTACACTAAATTAAATCATATATGTTGTGTGATAATTAATCTCCGCCATGATTTATCGTTATTGCAGTTTTTACTTCCGGTGCACTCGAAGACATTTCACGGCTTAATATGCGTTGTTTCGGAATCCCTGAAGTTGATAATTATAGATTGTTCAGGAACTTGCAGAGATGGAGCTCTTATGAGACCGATTGTGCCACGATCCGAGTTGTTGTAATTATATAAATATATAAATATGTTTTTTATAATTACAATTTCCTGGATATAGTTCTTTTGACAGTCGTTATCAGATTTATTGCAGCAAAGGTCGATCTCAAAGTTTCTAGGTGAAAGGAATTTTTGGAAAAGTTCCAAGTCAATTGCACTGGTTGTTCCGGACGTGTTCGACACAGCGTGGACTGAGGGCATCGACAAGGCAGACATCGAAGTGATCACAATGCGTCACATGGAGACGTACAAGGATGGTGTCTCAAAAACTTGGAATCCGGAGCTGAAGAGGACAGACAAAGGCCAGATCAAGCTTATCAGGAAGCGCTACATGCATGTTATAGCGTTTGCCTCGAAAAACGATGTGAAGGAGGCCAATCTTGTAGCAACAAAGAGTTTTCACCCGGTGTACATTGCAAACAAGAAGAAGTCAGTCACATGAAGCAAATTGTTTTTGGGAATTGCTTCTTTTGTTTGAATGTCAATATGTAGTTGGTTTAGTATTACGTAAAACTAATCAAACATAGGTGGTGATTACGTTTTTCACTGGGTTATTATGAATGTCAGGTTCATTTGATGAACTTGGTCATAACGGCGTAGGTGATGGCGCATGGGTTTTGTGAGTGCTTGTTGCGTTTTGAATGTCGGGTTGACGTACGACTAAATTTTTGGATATTCAATCATTTTTATGCGGTATCAATCTTATGTCTTCATATCGTCGTGGGTTGTACATTTCATGATGTGTGTTTTCTACTTAGTTATCGCGCAGTCCAGTGCATATTATCGTGCAACTTAGTTGGCGCGATTGGTTACATTTATTCATGTCATCAATTTATATGTTTGTTTATTTATTTATTTATTTAGTTGTTTATTTATCAATTTATCGTTCAGTATAATCGTATGTTTCATGTTATCTACTAATGTAATTATATACACATTGTTGATATTAAAACAAGGATATGGTGCATAATGATGAGGCATATTGTGAAAATTTCAAACACTAATGTGCAACGTGGTATATAATGTTGTGCACCTCCTGTGAAATTATATAAATGTGACTGAAATCTTACATATTGATTATTTTTCTATTAGTTCACCTTACTTGATTAACTAATAACATATTTTTCACTATTTAACTATTTCATGTTTAATAAAGCCAACATGTGTGTGCATGGCGAATATGGTTAATGTGCAAATGTGTTAAGTATAATGTGAGAAAATAATACGATAATATACATGCGGGCTTGGGTGTGAATTAGCTATGATAATTTTGGTGTTCTTCTAAAACCATATGCCGATATTACAGACATTGCATAATAGCATTGACTGACTGTCTGAATAGTGTTCCACAAATGTTGCTACTAAAAAAAAAACATAGCATAATAGCATCGCCAGATAAGTCTGTTCACATTTCAACAAAAACATTAATGAATCTATATCACAGGAATATGAATATTGTAATTACATGCAATGATCACAAAAGTATTTAAAAAACATAAATCTATTAACTGAATGCAGATGGTATCCTTGGAATTGCTTCCGAAGGTAGTAAAATGTCATAGCATATTGGCGTTTTGATGGTGCCGGCATGTGTAAAGTCGTATTTAGTAAACATCATTAATGATACTTATATAGTACTGAATAATGTTTGTGTGCAAATAATGTATATGAATAACACGGCTACATTACACAATATTAATTTAATTTACCTGATTGTAGCAAAAAAAAAAAACAACAAAAAACAAAAAAATCAACAGCCGATGCACTTCACCTCATCCCATAATTGTCTGGTGCATTTAAAAATAGCCCAGGAGTGACATAGTTAATGCGGGAAAATACAAAAATAAACGAATAAATAAAAAATCGGTATAAATATAAGAATTTTACATACCTATGAATGATGGTCGGATGGTATATCTATTGTTTTTTGTGGGCAGGTTCGTGCATTGTGTCCTACCCTCTCACCACACGTCTTACATATCCTCCTTTTCTTTTGCCACTTTACAATTGACTTCCCCTTGACGCTCTTCATCCTTTTTCCGCTCCCTTGGTTTTTCGATTGTGTCGGAGGTTGGATGCGTATATCTTGTGGGGCAAACATCCCAACAACAGATTCAAATCTCTCTCCCTTTCAACCATGGCTGAAACACCACCCCCTCGTTCGACCATGAGCATTCGCTTATGCTCCCCAATGAGTTTAGAAAACTCGTCCAGTTGGCCCATTCGAGTCTCAACATATCCCACGCAGATATGTACGTCTGACCATATCTTATTCATCAAGATTTTTTTATCATTTATCTTGGCATATTCTTCTGAAATGTTGTCAACATGGAACATAGGTTTGCTAAATGTAAATTTCGTCCACCTTGATCTGATGTGAGCAGGAGGTATAACCTCAATGTTCAGGTCTTTGAACACAACAAAGATATGCTTACACGGCCACACGTACATTTCAAAGTGTTTGCCATAACATCGAGATGTTTCTAGACTGGCATTGTGCATCACAGTAAATGATTTCCCATCAGCATCTCTTATCACAAATGTGATTTCATTGTCATTTTCAGAAAATTGCATCACCCGACATTTGAATCACGCCTCACATATTTCAGCCTGCACACGATAGAAGATTGAGGTGGTGTGCACAGACAAAGCATGCTTTTCAACCGACAATGGTTTTTTAAGTCAGCCATGTGAGTTTCAGTGTCACTTTGTAACCTCATTGTCGTGTTACGTTGTGTGTCCAAGGCACTATCGTAATGTAAGAGAAACTCAACCAAACTGGAGTGATTGTTAGTGAAATTGCTAAACCAGTTGTTCTCACTTTCCGATCTAGATGTAGCTCTCATAAGCCCACTCATCCCAGCATCTCTAAAATATGTCGGTATTCAATACTCTCTCTTACAAATAAGTCATTAAACCAATTATGGGTGTCCAGGCTATATTCATGCATAATAGCAGCCCATTTAAACTCGACCGGTTCAATGTTTCTATTCCAGAGAATGTCTTTAAGTCTTTTTTTGAAATTCGTGTCAATATTTAGAGCATTTCCGACCTTGTCACATACTTTATTCATGATATGTCACATGCAAAAGCGGTGCTTGCTATTAGTGAATACCTTGGAGAAAGCAATATCGAGGTGTCTTGGTCCGTGATTATGTAGTTTGGCTCATGAACCATTGCATTCTTGAAGTTTTCTAACACCCATACGTAAGAATTGACGTCTTCCTATGCTATCAAGGTGGTTGCAAACGTTACCCACTTCCCGCGGTTGTTTATGCCGGTAAAAGGTGCAAACACCATATTGTATTTACATGCAAAAAAATATGATCTATCAATGCACATATTGGTTATATAATGTGCAAAAACTTATGATGTATCATGATGTATTAACAACATTGTGGTGCAAGAACAACATAACTATGTAATTGATATGTGTAATTAATGTACTTGTTTGTGCTATATGTGACATAAAATGATACAACGTCCCCAAAAGACCCATAGTTACGTCTTGATATTGTATCAACCCAAAAAAGCCTATGTAGGCATTCATGTTCGTCGAGCTCATAACGAAAATAAAAGACAGGGTTGTTCTCTTGATGCTTGTAAAACTTATCAATAACCAACTGAGTATCAGCACCTAAAATGTACCCCATGAGCTCTCGCTTGAAGTTCCTGAACTCCACTTTGGTGGTGCCTATATTAGAGTATCCTCCCACCATCTCTTTGTACAATTTGTACGACTTGATAGGGCCTATGTTGGCCTTTATACAGTTGAGGAAAAATGTTTGATGTGCGGCTGTCATTGTCCGATTGATCTTTAGTCGTGCTCTACACTCATCAGGCTTCATCGGATGGTTGTGATTTTCTTCAAAAAAACCAAACAATGTAGTTGTTTGATCCATTGACTCGAAGCATGATCCGGGAATTATACCCACTCGGTTAGATACCCTACGCCTTCGTGGGTGTATTGCTCGGACTGTGTCTGCGTGGTGCTTGTTGCCCTCCCTCGAACATACTAAATATTTCCAAACCACCGTCTTATTAACCGCTTTAACCAGCTTGCTATGTCCAAGATCAAACCCAACCCTAGAAGCATACGTAGTGTAGAAAACGACTGCCTCATCAAGCCTTTGGAAAATTTGTCCCTTGAAGGGCCTAAGTGCATCATCACATTGTGGTATCCAATATTTAGTGTCGCCTGGTGTGATGATTAGCTGGTGCATACGAGGTGATGATATTTGGACTGAATCTGTTGTAATATTTGGATAACACCAAAATAATAATAATAATAATAATAATAATAATAATAATAATAATAATAATAATAATAATAATAATAATAATAATAATAATAATAATAATTAAAAAAAATTTAAGGCACACAATTATGGACATTATTATGCACATTTATATGCAGTTCCATGCACAATTACGTACGCTAACATGCAGGATATGACATATGGGCCATGTTCATCAATTTTGTACAAAATAGGGTATATGAATGTACAAGGCGATTTCAAATCAACACGCATTCCTGATGAATTCCAAATCATATATTCATTAATTAACACATAATCAATCAACAATATCGGGTTCTTACTACCTTCTTGCGTTTCGTTCAGATCCACAGGCGCTTCCATAAATAATATTGTCTTGTAAAAAAAAAAAAAACTAAATCAATCAGAGGTCAGTAGTTTCTCCATATATGATTCGCAGCATACTCAGGTTACTCGTATGTTCGATTGCGATCGAAAACAAACAGGAAAAAAAAAAGGAAAGAACACAGAAATAAAGATTGTAATACCTGATTTCTGATCGATTGGCTTCTATATGTCGTGGATTTTACTCCGTTGGTTTACGATTAACAACGTTGTCGACGCGCGAATACTCAGGAGCTCGATGTTGAATCAATGGGTTACTTTTTTTTCACCCAGACGCTCAGTCTAAAAACCCTAAGCTCATTTTTAATGTTGATGTTTTAAATGCAGTTGCATCTTCACTGTACACGCGACAGTGCAAGTAATTACAAGTTTGCCCTTTTAGTTGTGTTTGTGCGGGCTAATGTTGTGCGTACGATTACATTAATCTTGTGGCTAAAATTTATTCTTTTTTCTTTCGTTGACACTTATTCTCACCGGAGCGCATCCCTAAAAGAATTAAATG